CCTGCAGCTGGGTGGTGAGATTTCATTTACTATCACCGGTTTTGACAGTTCGTACACATTTATTCATGCAGCTTCATGGAATTGCTGTTTTGATAGTAAGTTTCTTAAAGGGGTAGCGGCCCTATTTAATATGTATTTGAAAGGTGCATACTAGTGAGGGAAACTGTTTGATATTCTGCAACCTGTTCGGGTTCCGAGAGACAGTTGCTAAGAGCTAATTAATATTATAATCTTTCCATAGTTTCAAGTGAGTTATGGAGACACAGTGGCAGGGATGGCATTGTTCTCAGTAGGTTATGGTATTAACACTTATTCCAGGGTAGCCTTTGGTACAGAAACAAGTCTAAACGCTGCTAGCAGCATGGGATCGATAAGAATTGAAAGGTGTGAAAAAGCAGTAATGGTTGGAAAGGATGTTTAATTTAGCTTAACGCGGTTTTATGAATGAGTGAATGGAAACACAGTCTAGTAAACATAGTGCACTTGTGTGTGAGTTGGTAAAGAGAATTATAATACAATATCTCACACCTTAAACCTATACCTTCTAGTTTTGGACTCCCCACCCCTGGGAAAAAGACCTTGGCTATTCACCCTGTCTGTGCTCTTCATGATTTTATAAATCTCTAGCAAGGAAGGGGTAGAAAATATAGTCAGAATTGTGCATCAGAAATTAAAACCAGAATAAGTAATCATGGTAAAAAGTCAAAGCTTATGGTTCTGTATCTGAATGCTCACAGTATTTGTGAAAAAGATGGTTGAGTTGCTTGGAAAATGGGAATAAATGATTAAGACTGATCCCTCCATTCATAGAACTCCTGGTGGCAGTCCTGGAAATTCATATCAACGTTTTGAATTTGTGTCCTCTTACCATACTCACAACTTAGTTGGAAGCAGTCTTCCAAGTTTCCTGTTTCCTTTCTCCTTTACCTAATTGTTTGTTTGCTGGAACTGAATGATGGTGTGATAAGCTGCTGTAGTCCTTAACACATCCTTGGAAACCTCTTTTCTTTGACCGTGCCTCTAGCACCTTGTTGAACAGCTTGACTTGGCAATGAGGAATACAGCTTGACCCCTCCCCCACCCTTCTTCAACAGCACCTTAGAAACCAGTGACTCCATGACTTAGAAAGACAAGGGCAGCTGCCACCTTGAAGCACTGTTAACTCCAGTTCTCCCCACGTTGTACATTATTGCGACTTGGGTCTATGCCACCAGTTTTTCATCATCATTGGATCAAGATCCTGGAATCCCCACTCAAACAGCACAATGATGTCCCTCCCCTTCAGTGCATGGCCTGCAACAGTTCAAAAGGACCGCCCGTCATCATCATCATCTTTAGGTAAACTGAATGTCCCTTTTCTCTTCTGTCCTGATTTCCAAGGGCTGGTCCACATTTCCAGTAGTTTTCTGGTAACGGGATAGGCAGTAAATACCAGCCTATGACGCATGTGTTCCCAGAATGAATTAAAAAACTTCAGCAAGCCTATGCTTTCAGATGGTGAAATCCCTTCGGAATATCGGATTAGGATGTTTTCAAAAAAACACAACTGATTATGACAGTTTCATGCACGTATTTGCCAGGAACACATCACTTTCAAAAACCATTAATTGAAATTTTAACATGCATCGTATGCATTCCAGTTACATAACGATTATAATAGTGCCGATATCCAACCAGTGGATAGGATGTGCAGCTGCTCCATGTGTCTTTCCATTATTGATGTAGAATCTTAGAATGATTGAGAACACAGAGAGGCAATTCAATCCATTGGGCTTGGGGCTGGTACTTCGAGAAAAAACCCATCTGTTTAGCCTCACTCCCGGCTCTTTGCTCAAATCTCTGTAAACCAGAACATAATAAAAAGGTGTTTTCCATCCAGGTCCTCAGCCTTTAACCTATTCAGTTTAATCATTGCTGATCTGAGCCTCAAATCCATTTTCCTGCCTTGGTTCCAAATCCCTTAATACTCTCACCTATCAAACATTTATCAGTCTAACATTTGGAATGACTCAGCCTCAGCATCTTATTTTTTTCCAGACTTTCATTTCACTTTTTGCCAAATGCTAGTTCCCAGCACTCCACTTGAACAGCCTAGTTCTAATTTTAAAGTTATGCCTTCTTGTTCCGAGTTCCACGCCCCAGAGGCAAACTGTTTGTCACTTTACACAGAGGATGGTTAGAACATGGAACCAGCTACCACACAAAGTATTTGAGAGAAATGACATAGATGCATTTAGGGGAACCTAGAATGAACTGCTGAGACAAAAAGGAAAGATGGATCTGTTTATGTGGTTAAATGATGTGGGGTGATAGAGTTTCATTTATACATAGCCAGCTGAACCAAATGCCCCATTACTATGTTATTAATTTGATAGAATACTGTGAATTCTGCCAAATCACTTAATTCCCCTCAACTGGATCACTTCTTAATCTTTTTGCTGACGTTGTGACAGGTACTAATAGCTGGAGTTGTGGATGAGACTTAAATGTTCGGCAATGGATTCTCTAAGTGTCAACCCTAAAAATTGAGACAATTTCTACATATTAGTTTTTTTATAAACAACTGCGTACCCCACGAGGCAAATTGCACCCAGTCGGAGTTTTTATTTTCCGTTAGATGCTTCCTGCCAGGCTATTTACTGAGTTCTGATGCATATCTGTTGAGATATTTATGTGTTTTCTTTGAGTCTATTTTGAGTGTTATGAGCTTTAACTGTCCTACTTCTACCTCAAAGAATTTTGTTGAGACAACCGTCTCTAATGGTAAAATTTGAAGAGCTCCAACTCTGTAGAGGAATATTTGGAATGAATCAAAAAATGCCAACACCCTGAGAAACAAAGTAATGTTCTTGTCATTATATGTAAGACTACACTTGCTGACACCAAGGAGAATGTGCAATATCAATGATACCACTTATAAATATAGTCACAAATAGATACAAAAATCTATTAAAGATAATATTCTAAGGAAACTGTTTAATGGTGGGGTGTGGGGTCACAGAAATTAATTGTAAAATGAAGGTGGAATTTTAAGTTTTAAAAATCAGGTAAAAGTAATGTGTATGTGCAGTCGGAAATAATCAGTAGTGCTTTAGTTAAAGAAAAATAATGAGTATTTTGATGAATCAGTATATTATGGTATTTTACAGTGGTCATTGTAAAACAAAAAAACATTTTTCTTTTAATATTCATTAATCATCTTATTATTTTGTGTGCGTGCGCCATGTATTTGGTGTCAGAAAATAGATTATTTTTTAAAGATGATAGAATCCCTACAATATGGAAGCAGGTCATTCGGCCCATTGAGCCCACACTGATCCTCCGAGGAGCATCCCACTCAGACCCACCCTACCTACCCTACCTGTAACCCTGCATTTCCCATGGCTAATCCACCTAGCCTGCACATTCCTGGATGCTTTGGGCAATTTAGCATGGCCAATCCACCTAACCTGCACATCTGTGGACTGTGGGAGGAAACACCTGCAGAAACAGGGAGAACGTGCATGCTCCACGCAGGAAGTCACCCGAGGGTGGAATTGAACGTGGGCCCCTGCTGCTTTAGGGCAGCCACGCTAACCATTGAGCCACTGTGTGACAATGAATCTATGGCCCATAACATTTTAGAGATTTGATAAAAGATCGTAAGAGCTGAATTTCACCAGCCTCTTAGCAAGGGAGTGGGAAGTGAGAAGAAAGGGAAAGTGGTATGAGAAGGTGCGCCCAGCGCATTCCCGCTGTAGTGCCATTTTGTCAAGGAGTGATGGTAACCAAGCCACCCACTTAGAGCCCAGTTGAGCTCTTTGACTGGCCGATTAAGGACCTGTTCCAGCCTCCACTCACATTTTGCCATGGCCAGGTGAGTTTGGGGCAGTGGCTCCATCTGCCCTCAGGATCCCATTTCCTCTACAGTTTGCTGGGGCCAGCACCTACAGGGAAATGCCCCTGCGTTTCCAGGGTGCCCAGCCATCGAAGCGCCCTGTCCTGCTGATGCAATCCCACAAATGGCCAGCGCTGGCAGTGGTGCTGCTGAGTTGACAGAGACAGCAGCTTTTGCAGCAGCTGTTTAATTGGCTGGCACTAGGATCGTGCTTCCTGAGCCATGTCACTGGCCAAAGCAGGCTTGACTTCTGCTTTTAGAACAGGCTGGTGGGGCTTCAACCTCAGTCATGATATTCAGCCCAATGATTCCATTTTCGAGCAATTCTCGTTCAGCCTCACTGCTGTAAGAAGAGGTTTAAAAAAAACAGGCCAGAAATCTCACCCTGGCCAGAAGTATCTGTATTTCCGTAGTGCCATTCCTGATTTCAAGGTACCCTGAGGTATTTTTTTTAAAAAATGACATAATATGCGAAAGAAACTGATTGCATACCTTTATTGAAAAAAAAGAAAGAACTTGTATTGCTAATCACACTTTTTACAATGTCAGGATGTCCCAAAATGTTTTACAGGAAACGGAGGACTCTTTGAATTCTGGTGTCCGTTGTAATGTTGTAAATTCAGCAGCTAATTTGCATACAACAGCCATGGGATAATTGCCAACAAATCAAAATCTTGGTAATGTTTGTCTAGGGATAATAGGAGAGCTTCCCCGGTCGTCTTCAAAATAGCAACATGGGGTCTTTTGTACTTGAGAGGGAAGGTGCAACCTCGGTTCCATTTCTAAGGGGAAAAATAGTCACTTCTGACAGCAAGGCCTTTCCTCAGTGCTGAGCTGAATGTCAGCCTAGATGTTGTACTCAAATATCCAATCCAGATCTTGCACCCAGGCTCTCCAACTCATAAATTGGGTAATTGGAGGGTAATTAATGAGGAGCTGTTTTTCAGGCAGATGAATGTTGTACAGAGATTGTCCTTCAACACTTGTTGGGTAGAGAATAGTATTAAGATAGGAAAACCAGAAAGTGATAAATGAAAATATACTTCTAAATGAAATTAGAATGCACTGACATGTTTTAAAATTCTTTTCAATCTATACTTCTTTTTCAAATCTGTGGCAATAGATTCTGAAGAGAGTTCCCAGTCAGGCCATGAGACCCCTGGCAGTGAATCCGCATTACAGGGGAACACGGAGCATGAGGATGTGGAGAACTCGGATGGCAAGACAAAGAAAGAGAAAAAGAAGAAAGAGAAGAAAAAGAAGGTGAAAACAAAGGGAAAGACGAAAGACAAAGAGAAGAAGAAGGAGAATGATAACCAGGAAAAGAAAGCCAAGAAGAAAGGCTTCGGAGCAATGCTGAGGTATTTAATGGAGTTTATTCTGGATGTCAGGATGCATTTTTGCACACAGAGTAAATCTGAAACTCTACTGTCCAAGAGGCGTTGAGGCTGTGAGTCAAATGAGTATTTTGCAACTGAGATGTATACAATTTTGTTAGACAAGGGTTATGGAACTGAGGCCATGCAGGTGGAGTTGAGACCCCACCAGAAGTTTTTCAGCTGGTTTTATGTTCAAGTGTGCTCAATACATTCAGTAATATCATTGGATGTCATAGGGTTTTTATTTGATGTCATTTGATAGCCAATGGTGTCAGGTGATCACTGTTGAATTACTAAGGATGTCAAGTAATTGCTAAACGATCACTTTTGAGTGCAAATGATCACAAACATATGATGCCTGTGAAGGAAAATTGACGTCAAATTTGGCTGGCAGAGTATATAGGAACTTATTGAATAAGGGGACATTGGCTCATGGGACTGAATGGCCTATTCTCGTAGAATCATAGAATCCACACAGTGCAGATAGGGGCCATTCAGCCCATCTAATCTACATCAACCCTTAAAGAGCACCCCACCAGACCCCCACCACCCACCCCCAACTACCCACTCTATCCCCATAACTCCACATATACCACAGCTCGTCCACCTAGTTGGCATATTTTGGACTGTGGGAAGAAACTGGAGAACCTGGTAGAAATCCATGCGGACAGGGGGCTAACGTGCAAAATCCACATAAGGCTAGAATTGAACCCAGGTCCCTGTGTTGAGAGCCAACAGTGCTAACCACTGTGCCGCAGTATTCTAGTTCCTATGTTCTATAAGTTCTAATTAAATGCTGTTGTGCTTGGTCGCTAATCATCAATAATCAGCTCACATTTGGAATTTGGGCTCGGATTCCTCTGAAAACTGACTTGAAAAAAGTTCGGAGGAATCAGAATAAGTTTCTTCCAACTGGCTGTTAAACGTCTTTCTGAACTCACCTAGATTTTCTGCCATATTAACTGGGGTGAGATTTCCTCTGCACTTTCATTTAGATCTTGGATGTTTGGAGGCCCAAGGTTAGATCGTTACCCTGTGCAAAGCTACTTTCCAACTGCTGCTCATAAGCACATTACGGTTTGCCTTTAGAATTGCAACTATAAAGGGAGAAATTAATGAGTTCTCGTTTAACAAAAGCTCGCTTTTGCATAGCATTTCTAATGTGATAAGTGACCCAAAACATATCGCAGAAAGGTATGAAAGTAGGAATTGATACTGAGCCACTTAAAGATGTACCAAAATTTGGACTAAAAGCTTGGTAAAAGATGCAAGCATTGAGCAGCATCTTCCTGCAGAAGAGATTTAGCGAGGATACTTTAGGCTGAGACAGCTGAATACACAGCATCCAATGTTGCAATGTGAAAAATCGTAGATGCATGAGAGCCAGAATTAGAATGACGGAATGTCTATGTAAGCTTTATTTTCCTGGTTATCAATCTCTTTCTTCTCTTTATCTTTATTCTTTCCCTTCGTTTTCACCTTCTTTGTCTTCTCTCTTCTTTTTCATTTTCTTTGTCTTGCCATCTAGGTTCTCCACATCCTCATGTTCTGTGTTCTCCTGTAAAGTGGATTTGCTGCCAGGGGTCTCATGGTCTGACTGGGAACTCTCTTCAGAATCTCTTGCCAGATTTGAGGAAGAAAAAAGTATAGATTTAAAAGAGTTTTAAAACGCATGAGTGCATTCCAATTTCTTTTAAAAGTATATTTTCATTTATTGTTAAACACATGCTGAAAACGCAGATCCAACATAGGATCTGTAAACGAAAAAGAAAAATTCTGTCTTTATATACTCCTGTTGTATTATCCCAGGACGTTCCAAAGTCTTTCACGGCCAATGCAATGTCTTTTGAAATGCTATCGCTGATGTAATGTTAGAACTATTTGTACACAGCAAGGTCCCACAAACAGCAGTGTAATAATGGTCTGATGATCTGTTTTATTAATTTCTAATAGTTAAGGGATAAATATTGGTTGGGACGAAATCTTCTCTGTGCTTCTCTGAAATTTGTGCCACACAATATTTTATGTACACCTGAGAGAACAGACAGGCTTTTAATTAATGTTCTATCCAAAAATCAGCATTTTTTTTTTGCAGTGTAGCACTCCCTCAGTACTGTGCTCTGTGTGGTCAGTCTGGATGTCTTATTTTGATTGTAAAGCAGTCTCAACATTCTGTGGAGCTGTGGAACACAGCAGGCCAGGCAGCATCAGAGAAGCAGGAAAGTTGATGTTTGAGGTCAGGACCCTTCTTCAACCTGAAACGTCAACTTTTCTGCTCTTCTGATGCTGCCTGGCCTGCTGTGTTCCTCTAGCTCCACACTGTGTTATCGCTGACTCCAGCATCTGCAGTTCTGAGTTTCATCTCTGAGTTTCAACATTCTGTGCTTGTGTAAAGTGCCATACAAATGCAAGTCTTCATTCATTTTACTTTCTGCCTCACATGGGTGATGGCACATTTTCTGTTGTGGCATGGTAAGATGCACTGATGTTCACTTCTGACTTTTTCGATCATGTCCACAGGAGGAAGAGTAATTGATATGGCTTGTTGAAGCTTATTGAAGTTAAGTTTGAACTTTCAGTGGAACAAGCTACACAAGGTTACCTAGATATAGTTGGCTAATTTGAGTGTTATTGTCATGTGTGAATTCCAACACTCTAAATCTTCAAAAGTTTGCATCCTTGTCTTAAGATCTAGATGTGCTGTTAGTTACATAACTGGGTAAACCCACAACCAGCTCTGCATTAGCAATTGGGATAAACCAGTTACAAATGCCCAAGTGTCTCGGGCTGTTAAACTCAGTCACTGTAAAATGAATTTGAAATAGAAGTTTGTTACAATTGAAATGATAAAAATGCACAAGTTTGTCCCAATGGGGTATGGAGGAATGGGGGTGAGAAGGAACAGAGCTTCATGGCAAATTTGCAGCCAACATCTGTCCCCCAACTTCATTGGCAGTGCCCTCCCTGTATCACCTTCAGCCCTGGTGTTTGATGATCTTCTGCCTCGTAAATCGGGACTTCTGGCACGGTGTTTGCACATTCTGTTTCTCTTGCACTCTCTCCTTCATTGTCTCTCTTTCTCTCTTTAGTCCATGCACTGTCTGTAGCTCTCTGTCTTGCACACTTTATCTAGATCGCTTTCTCTCTTTGGTTCACATTCTTGCTGTCTTTTCTCCACTGTGTTTTCACTCTCACCCCACCAGCTGAAATATACCCAATGTGTTTTTATGTTCACTTCTGAAATTTCTATCAAGATTAGCTCACTTCATACCAGGTGGGTTCAAATTGCACTCTCCTACTTCTGCTCACCACTTGACCTGAGATGAAAATCGAGGCTGTCTGGAACATTGTAGCTAATACAGATTGATTTTTTTTTGACAGAAGGAGTTCTACTGTATAATGTAGTCTGTGCATGTTGTTCCTTGTCTGGGAATACTTGACTCTAACGGCATTAGTTTACCCACCGGCTATGGTGCAGGATTCCAAAAACTCTTCCATGGGGTGTGTGTGTCATTTGCAAGGCCAGCATTTGTTCCCTATTCTGAATTGCTCATGAACTGAGCAGTTGTTAGGCTCTTTCTTTCTGAGGGCAGTGAAGAGGCAACCACATTGCTGTAGTCTTGAATCATACGTAGTTCAGACTGGATAAAATGACAGATTTCCTTCCCTCAAGATTTATTTAGGTCAGGTGCCTGTCGTGCACACCGCCTGCTTTACCTGTCCATTTCAATCGTTGGAAGGGTGTAGAATGCGCTTCCTAGCCCGGTTAGGTTAAAACTGGGGCTTCTGTGCCTCAAGTGGAAAGTGCTATGTTTTACTGAATCGCTTTTCACAATCTCTGTAGACTCCTTCACCCCCTTCAACCCTGCACAATCTCTGTACACCTCCAATTCTGGCCTGTTGTGTATCCCTCATTTCCTTTGCTTCACCATTCACAGCTGTGCCTCGAACAGACTGGGCATCAAACTGGGAATTTCTTCCCTAGATCTAAATCCGCTCTACCTGTCTTTCTCCTCTTCCAAGACAGTTTCCTTAGAAACTTAGCCTTCGTTAACTTGTCTTAATATCTCCTGACATGGTTTCGTGTCTGGTTGTACACTGTTAAGTGCCTTCGAACATCTCACTTTAAAAGTGCTTCACAAATGCAAGCTGTCATGATGATCACAAAAAAAGCTGACCTTTTTTAAAAAAAATCGACTCAAATGATTCATTCACCAGTTACTTTGAGAATGAGCTGTTCGAATAAAACAGCATACTGAAATAATAATAACTTGGAATCCACTGCCTGAAGAACAGTTTTCTCATAGCACTACCTGTGGTTTTGTCTATTTTATGAATTAGGTTCTCTAAATAACTCAGCCATTAGGTAAAGATTTTTTTTGATTTAAATGGTTTTAACCCAGAGCTCGAGATTTCCATAAATGGTGTTTTTTTTTGCTTCTCTGTTTGCTGACTTACTAACCCGCCCTCCATTTCAATGCCCATAAAGAAACACAACCAACATTTTTCAGAAATTACTACACCTCTAAAGTTCATCCAACTTCTGCTAGCGGTACCATTGTGTGGATTGTGTCTGCCTGTTTGAAATGCTGGAACAGTTACAGTGCAGGAGGAGTGGGAGATGCAGGAAAAAAAATGCTAATGTTTCTTTTCAGGCATTCTCTTACTTTGAAAAGCCAGGAGTAACAGAAGCCATCGTGTGCATTCCCCAAAGCTTGTTCCTACCTACAGCATTTACCTTTATCAGCTCTACCTTCTCTTGCAGCGTCCATCTAATGAATTAGCGAGGGAGGGCTCTTCCACAGCCAGAAAGCGACTAATGTTACAAATCCATATCCCCGCTTGTGTTTTGGTACATCTGGCTTAATATTCTCCTTTAAGTCTTTCAAGTACCTTTCAGTATAGCTTCCATCTTTCCAGTTGAAGCATAGAACCCTTACGACACAGACTGAAGCCATTGAGCCCAACTTGCCCAGGCTGGT